CATTTGCCATTTATAGCTTCGCCGTCACTCCTTTTCAGCCAGTTAATCATATGTACTAAATGGGGCAGAACGTGTCACCCTGCTAACCCAGAAAACTAAGGAGAAGCTTTAAATATGTAGTGACCCAGACCCTAACTGTGTCATTCTGGTGTCGTCCCAAGCTTCTAACTTGTAAAGGTGTCTAACAAAAGGAGATATTTCCCTAAACTGAACCATAAAGTGAATGAAAACCAAAAGTAAACGATGGCAGAGAACTGATAGTTTCTCGGCCGTCGTGGGACTTGAACACTCGTCTTCTGGGCGGAAGTGCAGTCGCTGGTTTGTACGGTGGCCCAGAAGTGTCACGACAAAACAAAAGCCACAACACAACACAATAAGCCGCAACACTACAAAATTAGCCACAACACAACCTTATTTATTTATTTATTTATTTGTTTGTTTGTTTGTTCCTTTCATGAAGGTACACAACATAATTTGTACATAAATGCACTCTACATTTTCAAATCAACACCTCCATGATTGGAAAGGAGCAGCAAGAAGAAAAAAATTCTTGTATTTGCCTGCCCCCTATTTAAACAAATAAAATGAAAAAACAAAAAACAAAGAAAAGATGGTCCGATATCACATACAGTTGATTTTCAGTAACCTACCCAATTACCACTTTGATTATAATAACAAAACAAAATAAAACAAAGAAAATGAAAGAAAAAAACCCAAACAAACAAACAGAAGAACCATACAAGTAAAATTTTACAACTCAACACAATTGATCCTTCATGTCCAATTTAAGTTTCAAGTACATATTGACAATTTTTTCTACATTTGTACATTTTTTAAAATTTATAAATATCTGTACAACCTTTTAAATCTTGTAGTTGGGAATTCAATATTTTTACACCAACAACTAAAATACACATCTGTTTCAAGGTAGTCCGAGCAGCCTGGTGCTTAAAATCAAATCTTCTTCTATGATTTTCATCTTCTGAAATAAACACAAACAACTTTTGCAGGTTTCCTGGTAAAACTCCAACACCACAACACCACACTACAAACGACAACACAACCTAATCAGTCACAACACAACACAACGGCTGCAACAGCGGCTAATTTTGTCGTGTTTTGGTTAATTTTGTAGCGTTGTGGCTTATTGTGTTGTGCTGTGGCTTTTGTTTTGTTGTGACACTTCTGGGCCACCGTAGGTTTATATTAACTAATTGATTTCAAAACAAAACTACGTTCCCTTCAACAGGTTTGGTTGTACAGCAGTGCAGTTTTGTGGAGACGGGATTGTCTTTTTTATATGCCAGAGGACGTATCATA